TTCAAAGTCTGCCTGGGCAGGAAAGTTCATGAGACTCTGATCTCCAACAAACCACCAGAAAACCAGAAGTGGTGCTGTGGCTCAAAGTAGTACAGCACTAGCCTTAGCAAAAACACACAGGGACAGCACGCAGGCCTTGAGTTTAAGCCCCATAACTGACCACACACACACACACACACACACACACACACACACACCCCACACACACACACACACACACACACAAAGTGGTTCATAATTCTAGCTACTCAGGAGTAGGGTAAAGGTTCAAAGCAAGCCTGAGAAAAAACTGGGTACTCTATCTCCAGTTAGATCAGCAAAGGAGTCAGGCCAGGCTGGAAGAAGCAAAACATCAGCCATGAGCAAGCAAGCTGAGTGGGAACACAAGGTCCTGAGTTCAAACTCTAGTACCAGCAAAAAGAAGAAAAAGAGGAAGAGAAACTGGAGGAGCATAGTGGTTCATGCCTGTAATCCCAGTAAATTGGGAGGTGGAAATTGAGAGGATCAAAGCTCAAGATCAGCCTGGGCAAAAAGTATGCAAGACCCAATCTCAACAAACAAACTGGGCATGGTGGTTATGTGCTATGGTCCCAGAGATAAGGGAGGCATATGAAGGAGGACTTCAGTCTAAAATAGGCTTCAAGCAAAACCCAATCTGGGGGCTGGGAAGGTGGCTCAGTGGTAGAGTGCTTGCTTTGCATGCCTGAGACCCTGGGTTCGATTCCTCAGCACCACATAAGCAAAAAGAAAAAAGCTAGTAGTGGTGCTGTGGCTCAAGTGGTAGAGCGCTAGTCTTGAGCTGAAAAGCTGAGGGACAGCGCCCAGGCCCAGAGTTCAGGCCCCACGACCGGACCCCAAAAAAAAAAAAAAAAAAAAAACAATCTGAAAACTAACTGAAACAATAAAGGTTGGGGGTGTAGTACAGTGCTTGCATAACAGGTACAAGGCTCTGAGAGCAAACCTTAATGATGAATAATAATAACTGTACTGAAGCATTAAAATATCTGCATCATGGCAGCAGTGGAAAAATCAAGATGGGTTTTCTGAAGCAGTTTCCACATTGAAGAAGTCAAAGTAAAGCATATACACACAAATTTTTGCTGCTTATCTATTCTAGGAATTTAATGGTTTTGTATTTGTTGTGGCTAGTTACTGCTATTGATGTTAAGAGTTATTGTTTTGGTTTTCAGTTTCTAAGGTAGTTTTGGAACAATCAGTGTAAAGGAAAACAGGAGTTTCATAAAAATAACTATTTTTCTCATCAGAGCAGGAAGCTTCTTGGAAAGGTTAAAAAAAAAATAGGATGCAGAACTTTCCAAGCAATCATGGCAACAGAATGCGAAGTAGAAATTGTTTAACAGAGAAAGAGGCATGAAGAGCAAAAACCTGGACTAATGGGCTCAGTCAACTACTGCTCCTCACAGAAAGAGAACAGTACAGTGTAACACAAAACATAGCCCACTGCCAAGAGAAAACATTAAGAGGAATAGACAATTCTTAAATGACAAGAAAGAACTAGCAACCTCTGAGGTCCATTTTTTTCATCTGTAGAATACAAATATAACATTAGGGCTCTATAGAAGGTAACAGAAGTGAGGGACTCCAACATATTAGCCCATCACTGATCCTCAGGGAAAAAAAAAAAAAATTCAATGGCTCTCCCTACCTCCTAAAGTCAATTTTACAGAATATTACAATGAAAGGGAGGGAAGCTCAGTATCACCTAAAATGAATAAACCAAATGATTTTGAGAAAGCTGAGATCTGAGAATCAAGGTTTGAAGTCAGCCCAGGCAGAAAATTCCCTGTGAGGCTCTTATCTCCAATGAAACACTCAAAAACAGGGAGTGGCACTGTGGCTCAAAGTAGTAGAGCTCTAGCCTTGAGCAAAAAGAGCTCAGAGACAACACACCCAAGCCCAGAGTTCAAGCCCCACAACCGACAAAAGTACAGCCTGGAGGCATGGTTCAAGTGGTAGAGTGCCAGACAATGAGCAAAAACAAGTATCAGGGAGTTCAAGTCCTGAACTCAAACCAAAAAAATAAAATAAAAGACAGCAAGATATTATCACGTCAAAAACCAAGTACAGTGAAATAGCTTCAGTGGAAACGCCTTGCAATGCTACAACAGGGACTCCTTCCCTTACCAACATCAGAACAAAAAGAAGGTCCTCCGCACATTTCTTCAAATTGCTGGAAAGTATGCACCTAATCTCCCCTCCCCCCCTCCCCCGCCCCCCCCCCCCCCCCCCCCCCCCCCCCCCCGTGGAATTTCAGGTTAGCAAGCTCAAAAAGAAATGTGTGTTCCACCCCTTGTACGACTAATATATGCTAATTAAAAAAAAAAAAAAGCTTCACACACACACAAAAAAAAATCTGTGCTCCAAATTAGTCATAAAAATCAAAACTGATCTCAAAACATTTTCTCACAGGAACGATGATAACAGTTAAATTTTCAAGCTAGCCCTCACAGCAATTAAACAACTAAATACCTACCATTCTTAACTGATTTTTTTTTTTCTCAATCTAAGTACAATCTAGAAGCAACTTTATAGATTGATCTGAATTTTATGAAAAAGCCTACGGCAATAGTGCTCAATTGCCTATGGGGGGAAAAAAAAAGAAAAAGAAAAATATGTGTCCTGAGATTCAAACAATTTACACAAAAACTTTTAAACTATAACTGAGGAAGGAACAGTCAATGACAGCTGTGAATTGCCTTAACAGAAAAACACACAACTGCAGTAAGAGTAATTATCAATGAGGGAACAGATGAGACAGTATGAAAGGAAATGTACTCATTACCCGACACATGCAAATGTAACCCCTCTATACATCACCTCTATACTAACAATAAATTCTTTAAAAAAAAAAAAAAAAAAAAGAGTAACTCTCAGAATTCAGAATAACTGACTCGCTTAACAAGCTTTATCTAAGTCCTATCCTGTGCCCCTCCAACAGGAAATTGTTCTGAAGCTAAGCACACAGCCCTAGGAATACTTCCATCCAGCCCTAATGAATCACACACCAAATCCTAGTGCTTTGGGACTCACGTATACCTACATCTATTGCCTCACATCACCTCCATCTCAGAATTAACACACCTAGTTTGTTCTTAATACTCTCAGTACTGTGAGGGAAAGAAGAAATTCACATTTATGAAGTACTTGCTGTGCTCTCCCTTGATTTTTACAACTGTGCAAGATAGGAAAGCATCATCCCCAATTTACACATTAAGAAAACGATGCTAAGTAATTTGCCCACAGCACCTGTAAAGAGAAGCCATCCCTCTGAACTCTAATCACTACCTACAGGAGTTGCTCCCCAGCCTCAAGGAAAGAAGTGAATTAGGTACACCACTGGACAGCTGACCACTTTCCCATCCATCACTTGTAATTCTAGTTCAGCAGTTCTGACAGCAAGTCATGGAGAACATAACCCATGGACTAATCATTTGATATTATTAATTTGGTATTCAAGGAATGCTCTTTAAAAAAAAAAAAAAAAAGAGGGGGAGGATAATAATGTCCCTAGAGGTGAATCTGAGCTGTTGACATCATTTCCAAACTCCTTTTCAGAGACTCTTAAGACTCTTCATTTTTCACTTGCCATCTCAGTGTGGCTAATTTTAATTTCAAAAAGGTACCTTGCAAAACAAGGTTTTTCTCCTAGCATAGAAGACCTCTCTGCATGTCCTTGAATTTCAATAAATTCAATTTTACCCAATAATCTGCATAACTTCCAAAACAATTGTTAACACTGCAGTAAAAAAAAAAAAAAGTTCTATCATAATGAACTGTGAACTAAATCTTGACTCAACTGTAGCAAAAATGGCAACAAAATCTATGTTTAGACAGATTCTCTACCTAAAATTTTCCATTACAAGCTTGGAAAGGAAAAAGAGAAAACCTATAGACTCAACATTTTAAATGTTTCTTAATTGAACATGATGATAGGTAATTATCAATAACGCAGTCGAGCCAAAAATCTATCATGTAATTGCCACGAAATACTAATATGGTAAAACACTCCCTTTAAATTTAGAGAAAAACAGGATTAAAAGAATGATCTAGCTTCTGGAGTTTCCATTCACCCCCAAGAGAAGATTCCAAGAGGGATAAGGCTCTCACACGAAAACAAGGTTGTTTTGTTTCTGTTTCTTGAAAACAAAACAAAAACACAACCACGTCTACCAGACACTCCAAGCCCTGACAACCCCGTGCAGCAATGCTTCCCATCCTAAGGTGTGTTTCAAATACGGAAGGTGAAACAAAAATCAAAACGGATCCAACCATCTGCGCCCCGATGTCTGCAAAAATTTTGAACTGGGGGGAGGGGGGGGATGGTGGGGTAAAAAAAAAAAAAAAGAAATGATGTCAACGGTTTGGTTTTGGGTGTTTGGGTTGGTGGTGGTGGTTGTTTTTCTGGTAAGATTCCGGGAGACAGATCAAACAGCTTAACCTCGGGAGCTCCATCAACTCAGATGCAGGAACTTCTCTTTTTTTTTTTTTCCTTTTCTTTAATCTAATCGATGCTAGAAATTGCAAATGCTCAAGGTTTCGCTATATATATAGTTATTTATTTTTTTGGATCAACTGTCTCTCCCCCTCCCCCGCCCCCCCTTCCCCAGCAACGCATCACCACCCGCACCAGAAAAATCTCTCCAGCAACTACCAGGGAGATGGGGGGGGGGGGGGAACCTTACCCTTCTTTCCCCCCCCCCCCATCTTCTCCCTTCTCCCGCGCCCGCGGGGCCCCGCACCTGCCGAGGCCGCGGCCACCAGCGCCCCCTACCGCCTGCCCAGCCCCGAGGGACCCGCCGCCCACCCGCCCGCGCCCCGCCGCCCCGCACCCGCCCCGCGCTCCGCCTGCGGGCAGGAGACCGGAGACACCACCGCAGCAGCCCCGAACGAGGCGGAGCCTCCATGGAGCACACACACACACACACACACCCCGAGGGCGCCCCCGCCCACCCCGAGCCCCGACCAGGCCCCGCACCGACCTACGCCGTACTTCTCCTCCTCGGTGCGGGTCCACATGGCCGGGCCGGGCGCGGCCCCGCGGGCGCGGAGGCCGGGAGACAGCGCGGCGGAGCCGGCCGCGGGCCCGGCGGCGGCGGCGGCGGCCCGCGAGGCGCGGCGAGGCCGGTCAGGCGGCGCGGGGCCGCGGGCGGCGCATCCCCCGCAGGCCGCCCGGGACGCCACGGCCGCGTCCGCGCCCCGCACGGCTCTCTCCGGAGAGGACGCCGGCGACCTTCGGGGGTTTCTGTGCTTGTCGTCGGAATCCTTTTTTTTTTTTTTTTTTTTATTTTTCCCCCCTTGGCGACGTTGCACGATGGTTCGCCACTTGTCTCTGGCCGCTGCGTTCCTTGCGGGGGTTTCCCCGCGCCGCCGCCGCCGCCGCCGCCGCCGCCGCGCCTCGGCTCGCCTCAGCGGGCTCGCGGGACGCCCGCGCATGCGCGGCTCTCCAGCGCGCGCGGCGGCGGCGTGGGGAGGGGGGCGGGGGAGGAGCGCGGAGCTCGCCAGGCCCGGGCTCGCGGGACGCCCGCGCATGCGCGGTTCTCCGGCGCGCGCGCGCGCGCGCGCGGCGGCAGAGGGGAATCAGGAGGAATGGAGGGAAGAAGAGCTGGGAGCTCGCTTGGCCCGGGCTCGCGAGCCCGCGCGCCGCAGCCCCGCGCCCGTGTGCGCGCGCCCCCGGCGGAGGGAAACCTGCGGCAGACGACGAGACTGACTGCCCCGGAGGCTGAGAAGGACCGGACGGAGAACCGCGGGCTCAAGGCGAGACAGGGGTCGTCCCCGCCACCGCCTCCCTCCCGCCCCCCAACCCAGGACCCTGCACCTCTCTGTCCGCCTCCAGGGCCTCAGAGGCGGGAGATCCGGAAGAGGAGGGCGGTGGCGGGGATGCAGGGGGTTGAGGAGGGGGGGACGCCGTTTATACACCCGACCCGGTGTCACCCGCGTCACAGCCGCATCCTCTGAAAGGAAGCATGCACACACGTGCACACGCACCCCTGTGCAAACACACACCACGCACACGCACCCTTGGAGCCGCCAGGGCGTGGTGATCTGGAGGGAATTAAGTGGAGTCCCCCGACTCCTTGCACACACACACACACACCCGGGGCCTTGTCCTGCTGACCTGACCACCTGCGCAGACCCCCGCGCACCTGCTGTTCCAGCCGCGCTTTCCACGATGATGGGACTCTAGAGACTAGAGTTTCCCTACGGGGTGCAGCCTCTCCTGCTCCCAGGCCTCCGCCTCCCAGTCACCCTAAGTGCTGATCCTGTCCCCCCCAAAACCCACGTCCTTCCTCTCTGCTCTAAGAATGAATTGGCTCCGGTGAACACCCCCTTGGCTAAGCCCAGGAACTGCCAGCCTCCTTCTTGCCTACATCAGGACCCCCATGGTGTCCCCAGACAGATCCCTCTCTCTCTGTTACCAACCCCAGATGTCATCCCTCGCTCTCATTTTGGGGCACCCATTCCCACCCCCACCCCCCCGTTCATCAAAGCCCAGCTCAGCACCTCACCTTCAAGACATCTGCCCTAATCCCACTGTCAGCATACGGAATCCTTCCCTCTTTTGCTTAGGATTCCCACTTTGTTCATTTGTGCTTTATTTCCCTGTAGGACTGTCAGCTTATGAGCTTGTAGGCAAGCTTCAGACTAAAGCGATCTTTCTGGACTTCTCAGCATCCACCCCAGCATCTGGTGTGTGACTGTTGAACCAGGATGAGTACTAGCGTATCTTGTTAGGGACACACACACATATCAATCTTAGCTGTGAGTTCAAGGCCAGCCTAGGCTACATAGAAACACCCAGTCTGACTCACAAATGGTTTCTTGATACTCCTCAGATCATCCTGGGGCTTGAATTCAGGACCCAGGTACTATCCCTGAGCTGCTTCTGCTCAAGGATATCACTCTAGCATTTGAGCCACAGCACACTGAGAAATCAAACCCAGGGCTTCTATGCATGCTAGGTGAGCACTCCATCACTAAGCCACCCTCCCAGCCCCTCAGATCTTAATTACTCTTTCAAGGTGTTCTTTGTGGTTGGTGACCCCTCCCATGCCTGACTGCTCACCTAAATGATGACCACCACCTCCTGCCCTATAGACTCCTCTTCCCCACTCCTGCGGAGAATATATCTGTCCTGTGAATGATTGTTTCTGGATAGGCAGATACAGTTGTCTGGGGAGGGTGGGTGGTTAAAGGAGTTGAGAATAGAATAAGAGACGTTCTTATTTACAGAGGTAATTGTTCCAGGAAGATAGACCCCTGGCCATCATGGCAGTGGAGTACCTCATAGGATGAAGATCTCTGCAGGGAGTTCTGACCAGCCAGGGAGACAAACACCATAGATCTTTTGAAAGATCATAAAGCTCTTCCTTCATCCTCTCATTCCATACCCACATCTGATATACATGAAGACCATCATAGAGCCTAAGGGCCACATTTCCCAAAGTTTACTTTCACGTCCAGTTTGAACCCATCTTCGGCAACAGCTTCCCAGACAGAGGAAGTCCAATGGATGACCACATACTCTGGGGTGAGGTGGTCTTTAATCCAGCCAATGAAAGGAAAAGGGCACCAGGTGAGAAACAAGGGCAGTGCATACATCCTAGCCTCTCAGACTCTTGCTGTCTGTACTCCATTTAGTTGTTAAAGTGAAGTAGAAGGACATAAGATAGCACACTGGCCTTGGGCAAGACCTGTCCTGCTGTCTTCTTTTTTTTTCTTTTTTCTTTTTTTTGTTGGCCATAGGGCTTGAACTCTGGGCCTGGGTACTATCCCTCAGCTCTTCAGCTCAAGGTAAGCGTTCTGCCACTTGAGCCACAGTGCCACTTCCAGTTCTGGTGGTTTATTGAAGATAAGAGTCTCACCAGACTTTTCCTGCCCAGGTTTGCTTTGAACCACAATCCTCAGATCTCAGCCTCCTGAGTAGCTAGGATGACAGGTGTGAGCCACCAGCACCCGGCTTCTTTATCTTTTTTTTTTTTTTTTTTGGGTCCGGTCATGGGGCCTGAACTCTGGGCCTGGGCGCTGTCCCTCAGCTCTTCAGCTCAAGGCTAGTGCTCTACCACTTGAGCCACAGCGCCACTTCTGGCTTTTTTCTTTTTGCTTATGTGGTGCTGAGGAATCGAACCCAGGGTCTCAGGCATGCAAGGCAAGCACTCTATCACTGAGCCACCTTCCCAGCCCCCCGGCTTCTTTAAGTAGTTATACAAAGGGATTTCAATTCAACATGCCAGTCTGTGAGTAACAAGTATCTTGATCGATGTCAACCTTTCCAACGCTCTTCCTCCATCTCTGCCAACCTCACCTACCCCTTCAAGTGACCTGATCACCCACTTTTCTTCATGTGCTTGTCATGACCCTGATCCTTCTTGGGATATCCAAGAAGCCACTGCAAGATGGTTGCCCTGACCTATCCCGCTCAACGGAGTCTCTTGTCCAGGAACACCAACCTTATTAGCGGCCTTGTCAATTCTTTCCTTTTTCCTCTTCTCTGCATCTGACTTCAAAGGAAAATTGTATCCTCTCTGGGTCTTTTTGATGTCAGTGCAATTCATTTCTGAGCTTGTCACCTACAAAAAAAAAAAAACTGCTCTCCCAGAATTCTCCAGGGTCTTCTCAACTCCAGACATGAGCATCTATCTATTCCCTGGCTCTCAGGACTCTTGGTAAACGATGTCTCTCAGCCTGCATCCTCTCCTCCCTTGAAATTGACAGATCATCCTCATCATCCCAACTGTTTTTTTTGGAGCCACTCACCCTAGCTAACCTTAGTTAGAGGGGATTTTTCTCTCCCATCAAGGCTTTTCCTGGTTAGCCCTTACTCCTTCTACCTGCCTCTGGGAGATCAAGTGTGTGTGTCTGCCTTATATACAAACAGTTGTTTATTTCCTTCTTCAGTAGCAAGATCATTTTGTTTTACTCCACACAGAGACTAATAAAATACCTGCCATTTGGGCTGGGAAGGTGGCTCAGTGGTAGAGCGCTTGCCTTGCATGCCTGAGGCCCTGGGTTCAATTCCTCAGCACCACATAAGCAGAAAGAAAAAAGCCGGAAGTGTGCTGTGGCTCAAGTGGTAGAGCGCTAGCCTTGAGCTGAAGAGCTGAGGGACAGCGCCCAGGACCAGAGTTCAGGCCCCACGACCGGACCCAAAAAAAAAAAAAAAAAACCTGCCATTTAAGCTGGGAGCTGGTGGCTCACACCTATAATCCTAGCTACACAGGAGGCTGAGATCTGAGGATCCAGGTTCAGAGCCAGTCGGGACAGGAAAGTCTGTGAGACTCTTATCTTCAATAAACCACCAGAAGACTGGAAGTGGCATCCCATGACTCAAAGCCTGGAGCAAAAGAGCTCCAGGATGGCACCCAGCCCCAGGTTCAAGCCCTGTGACACACACAAACACACACACACACAAAATACCTGATATTTGACACGAATTTAACATATACCCTGGTGAATGATCCACTTATCTGTTTACTGGAACCATCATCAAATAGGCTAGAATGCAAAACTGGGGTATTTAGCACAGCAGCTCACAAATCTCCAAGTTCAGAGACTTCATTAATTAGAATAAAGTTCCTTGATATGAATACATTGGTTTTAATTAAAATTGTATTGAAGTCAGGTGCTGGTAGCTTACAGCTACTGAGAAAGCTGAGGGTCATGTCTGTGAGACTCTTCTCTCCAATTAACCACCAAAAAGCCAGAAGTAGAACTATGGCTCAGATGGTAGAGTGCCAGTCTTGAGCAATAAACCCAGGCTTTGGGTTCAAGCCTCAGTACCAACACACACACACGAAAATTCATTGAGACATCTTATTGAGTAGCTGTATAAAAGATAAACATGTGGAGCAATTTATTTAAGAAACAAAAAAGGCCAGGCACTGGTGGCTCACGCCTGTAATTCTAGCTACTTAGGAGGCTGAGATCTGAGGATTGTGGCTCAAAAATCTGAGTATTGCAGTTCAAAGCCAGCTACAGCAGGAAAGTCTGTGAGATTCTTATCTCCAATAAACTACTAGAAA